GTTCGTAGTACACGTTTAAGTTACCACAATCTAATTTCAAGTGATATTATGCCACTTCTATAAGGAATAAAAACCTTACAATAGTATACTTCCATTCCTCTCCTCTGACTTTTGTGTTATTGTAATCAAATGTTTTAATTTTATGCATGTCATTCACACATCACATTGTGATTTTTGTTTTAACAATGATCTTTAAAAGAGATTTAAGTAATAAAAATGACACGGTCACCCGCGTGGTTATCATTTCCAGAGCTCTTCATTCCTTCATCTATATTCCCTGTGTTTTTGCTTACGGTGAATTCTTTTAGGATTTTTAAATCTAAAAATATCTTTATTTCGCTTTTGCTTGGAATAATACTTTTGCTGGGTGTATATTTCTAACTTGACACTTTTTAGTACTTTAAAAACCTTGCCCCACTGTGTTCTCACCTGCTCTATTTCCAGGGAGATCCACTATCATCCTTATCTTTGTTCCTTTATATGTGATGTGTTTTTTTTTCCTGTGGCTTGTTTCAAGATTTGACTTTATATCACTGGGTTTGAGCAGTCTGGTTATAATAGGGCTTGATGTAGTTTCTTTCTTTGTGCTTGGGGCTCACTTAGCTTTTTGGATATGTGGGTTTATGACCTTCATTAAATGTGGGGAATTTTTTAGCCATTATTTTTCTCAAATATTTTATTTGTATCATACTCTGTGTCTTCTCCTTTAGGGACTCCAATTACACATATTTGGACACTTAAAGTTGCCCTACAGCTCTTTTTTTGCTGTTTGTTTTTGTGTGTGTGTGTGGGGGGTTTCAAATTTTCCCTGTATATTTTATTCTGAATAATTTTATTGCTAGATCTTCAAATTTACTGTTTTTGCATTCTGCAATCTCTAATCTGCCATTAATCTCATGTAGTGTTTTTTTTTATCTCACATATTGTAGTTTTTATGTCTAGAGGTTCAGTTTTGTGTCTTTTGAAATATATATTACGTTTCTACTTCGCTTTTTGAACATTTGAAATACAGTCGGAATAACTGTTTTACTAAATAGCTGTTTCTGTCAATTCTAACATCTATGCTAGATGTTGGTTGGTTGGTTTAAATAATCTCTTCATTATGGGTCTCATTTTCCTAAGTCTTTACGTGCCTGGTTGGTTTTTATTGAGTATTTAGGGCTAGATATCTTTGTACTTTGTAAATATTCTTAAGTATTTTTTTAAGATGTAGTTGCATTACTTGGAAACAGTTTGATCACTTTTTTTTGTGTTTCCGCTTTTAATATGTGTTAGATGGGATCAGGTCAGTGCTCAGTCTGTGGCTAGGTATGGGAAATCCTTCTGGGTATTCAACCCAATGCCCTGTGAAGCTTAATGTTTTCCCGACTGGCTGTTAGGACGTGGCCCTCTTCCTGGCTTTACGTGAGTGCTGTGCAGCATCGTCTCCAGTCTTTTTAGATGGTTAACTTCTGAGCCTTGAAAATAGTTTTCTCACATGAATGTTGCGATAGTCCCTTTTGCATTGCTATTAAAGAACACCTGCGGCTGGGTAATTTCTAAAAAGGTTTATTTTGCTCATAGTTCTGCAGGCGATGCAAGTGTGGCACCAGCATTTGCTTCTGGTGAGGCCTCAGGAAGCTTACGATGACGGTGGAAGGTGGAAGGAGAGCAGGCATGTCACGTGGCGAGAGAGAGAGCAGGGGAGAAAGCAGGGAAGGTGATAGCCTCTTTTAAACAACCAGCTTTTGCATGAACTTGAAGAGCAGGAACTCACTCATTACCATGGGAAGAGAACCAAGTGTTCACGAAGGCTCCACCCCCAAGACTCAAACATCTCCCACCAGACCCCATCTCCAACACTGAGGATCACTTTTCAGCATAAGGCCTGTGTCCTCAGTGATGGACCCTGGTGGGAGGTGTTTGGGTGATGGGGGTGAACGGCCCATCTCCAACATGGAGGGTCACATTTCAACAGGAGATTTGGAGGACACGGACACTAAACTATACCAGATGTGCCCCCAGTCCTCAGCCGAACCCTTGAGGGACTTCCTGCAGGTATCTGGAGTTCTCTCCTCGGCAGCGCTCTGTCTTGTAAATTGTTGGCACCTTGGTCTCCCTGAACTTCAGCGGCAGATGTGCTCATGGGCAAGTTACTTAACGTTTCTGAACTGTAATTTTCTCATCAATAAAGAAAGGATCATCGTATTTAGCTTATGATTCTATCATGGGCAGTGGATGAGACTGATGTGTGTACCCCACCTGGCCCTTGGCAGACACTCAGCAAGTATTTGGGTCTTTGCTGTCTATGCACCTGGTTGTTGTTTCTTCCTGATTTTTGCCTTGGGTTTGCAACCCAATTCCTGGCTGAGCTTTAGGTTGGGTTCTGTGTAATGATCAACCAAAGCAGGTGATCACTCAAGAGCCATTCAGCTTCTAACCTGATGAGTTTCAGAATTCTGCTATTCAAGAGACATTCGGGTAGAAGCATATCCTCCTTTAATTAGACATCAGTTTTCTCCGAAATCTCATTCAGTCCAACATATGAGGATCATCTGGATTCATTTGTTTGTAGTATGAATGTCGCAGACTCTGGAAGGTCTGGTGTGTGGGGAGGAATCTGCGAGAGCCAGTGCTTCTGCAACCCAGCGTGGTTCTGCCGGCGTTTCCTACTGGGTCATGAACTTCAACCTTTTACGTCCCCCTTGCATTGTTCCTCAGATTTCCCAAGGAGCTACATGCAGAGCAGATGAGTGTTTGTCAGAACGTAACCACTTCTCTTTTGTCTTCTCTCCCGTGGTAGTGTCTGGAGGTCGCAGCCGCCTGCATCTCATCGATCTCGGCAGCTGTGTGAAAGCACTTAGCAAAAATCGGGACGGAGGCTCAGGGCTGTGCCTCTCACTGTCTGCTCTGGGCAATGTCATCCTGGCACTCGTCAATGGCAGCAAACACATTCCATACAAGTAAGTGACTCTTCTACTCAAAAGAATGCGGCGGGGTCAGGATGGTGTGGGACGCTTGGTTTGGTGCCGTCTCTGAGGTATGCCACAGAGGGACAGTCTGGATTTCATTACAAGTTCAGTGCCAGGGGTCAGCCTTGGCTAACAGCTGTGTAATGCATGATTTTCCAAATTCAAAACTTTTGGAAATACTGAAATCTATTCCAGTTCTAACTTTAGGCTGCTCAAATGAGAGGAAGTAGGAAATTGTCTCAGTTGAGGTTTCCACTCGCCACTGAAGGTCATTGTCACCGTAATAAAGAGGCTTCTGTTTCATATTGATGAGAGTGAGGGTAGAAGCCTGGCTCACCCTTGAGGGTAGGGCCACCAGCCTTAACCAAAAGAATGTATAGGATATCCAGGCAAATTCGAATTTCAGATAACCAGCAAATAAGATTTTATTGTAAGTATGCGCTTCAACATTGCACGGGGCATTCCTGGCGTCACGTATTGTGTCCGGCAACCCTACTGAGGGCGCTTAGAAAGCTTGAGAAGTTACCACCCACCTTCCCATGTAAATGTTCGTTGACTTCCCGGATCCTTCCCTCTCTTTGTTACTGCTCCGGGACAGTCACATTACAGCCGCTCCTATGTCTGGCAGAGACAAAGCCACTCTTCACCACCATCACCCCAAATCAGTGTTGTCATTGGATGGTGTGGTGGGCACTTGGCTGGCTGTCCAGGCTCCTTCCAAGGCCCAGCAGAGCCTCGTACCAGCTGCGTGAGCGTCCACTCTTCCTAAAATGAGGGTTAGAGCTGTACACGTTGCTTACGTCACAGACACAGAAGGCTGAACATGATAGAACACGTATACAAGTGTATCATACTTTTGACCAATAACCAATGATGAAAGTCTGGTTAAACCTCTCTGGTCGAGCCTGTCCTCACCTATTTAAATGGAAAAAACACTGACCTTACGGAGTTGCTGCGAGGATTAACTAAATAGATGTGGATTCATGGTTTATCTGTAAAAATCCTACAAAACTAAGTTACTATCGTGGGAGGGAAGAGGCCGTGTATTCTGTCATTACTGAGGTTCAGGATGTGCTGGAGGTTTCCTTTCCCTCTGCTCTCTGTCGCTGCCAGACCCGCCACCAAATACACTGTGAGTTTCTTTTTTACCAGGAGACCATTACTGGACTGACTTTAGGAGCTTAAATGGTGATTATACTCCTGTCCATCTCAACTCTTGAAATTTGGGAATCCTAGTTGGATAAACACAGAAATGGTTTTGCCAGCTCTTGTAACAACCATTTTCTATGGGGGAAAAATTTCGAGTTGAAGAATTATAGAGTTCCATTTGATGTCATTTCTGTAGTCAAATAAATTCAACTTGTTGGGGGAAAGGGCAGGGCAGGGAAGCCGCTGGAGTTGGAAATGAAGGAAAATTACTGGCCCTTACTGGTTTCCATAAAAGGAGAATCGTGTCTCTTAATGCCATGACTTCATAGATCGTGATGTGGATAAAATTCCAAATTACACCTTGTTAGGGGGTCATCGGTTACATATTTTACTTACAGCTTTTACACTGTTTCTGCAGGGCGACATGCTTTTACGATCTCTTTAAGTAGTTGTTGAATTGATGATGGGAAAGATGAATGTAAACATACGGAATTATTTTTAATTTGAAAGAAGTAACTTCCTTTTAGTTAGAGTTGGGTTTTATTATAAACGAGTAGGGAAACGTTAAAAAATCGTTTTCATGGCCCAGCGCTGTGGCTCATACCTGTATTCCCAGCACTTTGGGAGGCGGAGGCGGGAGGATTGCTTGAGCCCAGGAGTTTGAGACCAGCCTGGGCAACGTGGGGAAAACCCGTCTCTACAAGAATTAGCTCTGCATGGTGCTGCATGCTTGTAGTCCCAGCTACTTGGGAGGCTGAGGTGTTGCTTGAGCCCAGGAGCCAGAGGTGAGTTGAGATGACGCTATGGCACCAGCCTGGGCAACAGAGTGAGACCCCGTCTCAAAAAAAAAGTTTGGATTTCCTGTTGAAGCCTCTTGTTAATTAAGCACATTTTAAACATCAGCTGGCCACTTGCCCTCCCGGGTGACACCTCCACTCCCAGTCCTTGCAGACGGCTGCCTGCCTTCATTCCCGGAGTCGCTTCCTTCTATTCAGGCACGGAGAGAATGATCAGTGAAGTGTTTCTGTGTCTCAAGTAAGCACAGACTAACATCCACGCTGTTATCAGCATCAGACGCAGTCCTGGAGCCGTCCCGTGGCCTGCTTGAGCTCTTGGTCACGGGGATACAGACCGTCACCAGCTGCCCCTGCCCTGCTGTGCCTCACAGCTCATCGAGACCTCGCTGGGCCGCCTGGCGCCGGAAACACGGTGGCCCGGCCGTGCAGCCAGCGCCGCCCTCCCCACGACACCCCCCGGCCGGTGCGTTTGCTTCATCATCCCTCCGTTCCTTAACGTCCTTTATTGTGTGTGATCCTAAAAAGACCCTTGCTGTAATGTTTTCCCTGAGCCTCGCCACCGCCTAGATTCAATATTTGGCATCTGCAAATTTACATTTGCAAAGTGATTAGTCCACTAGAAACTGCCCTCTTTTGAGGTACCGGAAGATAAGGCGAAGGCGCACTCAGGTCACCCAGCCGGTGGGTGGCAGGCTCAAACTGCCTCCTCCTCACAGCTCCAGAGGCCCTGGCAGCCCGCGCTGCCCTGCAGACCCATGCCCCCTTCTCAGCACGCTCTGTAATGCAGGCGCTGCCTTTGCCCAGCACAGCAGGATAGCCCCGGCTTCTTTTATCAAATCCAGGAATGCTCCGAAGCCACATTAGGCGGTATTTTGTTAGCTTTCAGCGTGTCAAACCTTGTCTTTGCAATGGGTTCCTTAGAAAGGGGAAGTTTTCTGCACATTTGATTTCCTCTTACTCCTCCTGCTCACTTACGAGGGGAAAAAAAAATAGAAAACCAAATTCTGCATTCTGTCCCCTCCCCGCCCCTCCACAACACAGACACCCCACTGCCTCTTCGCCTGTCTTCCCAGGCAGCTCTGTGCTTGGCACCTGTGTGGCGCGTGCTTGCCTCTGGGAAAGTCGCTGGAATGTGCACAGAGGGCTGTAGCCTGCTTCATTCCTCTCCTTCACTGTATCAGACTGTTCATCACGTGAGCAAGCTGGAAAGTGAGTCTGGATTCATTACCCGTCCCAGGCTCTCCCTCAGTCCTCCTCCATGTGCGCCGACTGGTTCTGACTTTGCAAATGATACTGACCTTGAAGATGGAAGAGGCACGGAGCAGATTCCTGACCTCAGCCATTCAGTGCAGGCTTGGCGGCCAGTCCAGGCGCGGTCAATCAATGCTAAGCAGTGGCACCATTCAGGAAAGCAGGCAGGGAGAGCTCCAAGGGCTCCACCCCCTTGCCAGTTCTGCGCTGACAGGCGGCACAAATTCCTCTCTAATTTTTGGGAGCTTCCTCGTCCAGGGAACCCTGCCCTCACCCGAGCATTTTGACGGTGCATTTGCACATTTTCTTTCACCATTCATTTGTTACGGTCATGTGCTATTCCTTTCTGCAGCAAGGTGCGAGGAGTCTTCCTATTTAATGGATGTGCCTTCTCAGGCCGAACCCAGTGTCCCGGGCACATACCACCAGAGCGGGCCCCCAGAAGGGCCACCCCGAGGATCTGTCAAGGTGAACTGGGCTCGGGCTAAAGGGTCTTATGTCCCAGCTCATCTGAAGGACCAGAGCCTTTCTAGACGCAAATTCTACCATGAACCAATTCGCTCAAAATAGAATTTCTGGTTCTCTTCCACGTGGCTTTGTCAAGAGCACAGACCCTTAGGAAGTACACCTTTCACTCGGGGCTCCTGCAAGCCCTGAGGCCTTTACCTTCGTTTATGACTGTTACTCCTCATGGAGAAAGAATCCCTTTCATGGGTCCTATTTGCTTATTTGCCAACCGGGTGTTTCTAAACACTTGGTTTCTAAACAGCAGCTAGTTGCTAATGTCCTGGCTGCCTTTAACAAGAGCTCGGGGCAAGTCCTCCTGGGACTCTCCTCTCGTGTCGCATCTGTCTGAGATGCTTCTCCCAGTCATCTTGAACGGTGGTCCTCCTAACCATCCCACGGTGGACATGATGCCTGGCCCCTCCCTCTTCCGGGCTCCGTCTGTGCTTCAGACCCAGACCTAATCCTTTTTTGTTGAGATCCGTCACTGAGGCACGTTGGGTTTCAGCAGCCGTGCTGAGCTCGCCGCCTCCTCTGTGGTGGAGTCAGGGAGCAGGCGGGTGGACCCTGAGGCATTTGTGATCCCGAGCTGCCGGCCTTCAGCCAACACCGCAGGCAGCATCCGCTTCCAGAAGCCTGAGTTCCGCAAAAGCAATGAGGTCGCCCATCCTCAGGGTCTGTGATGGGAACTCTTCCTCCTAAGGCCCTAGTGAGGAGTCAGGAACCAAGGTCATCTTTAGGCTCGTCGCGTCGGACCACAGCAGTTCATTCAAACCACAGGCAGCTGTGGAAGCTCAAGTTGAAGTCAGTGACTTGAAAGGGACTCTGGGTATTTACCCAAAGGATTGTAAATCACTCTACTCAAAAGACACATGCACACGTATGTTCATTGCGGTGCTGTTCACAGTAGCAAAGACCTGGAGTGAACCCAAATGCCCATCAATGATAGACTGGATGAAGAAAATGTGGCACATATACACCATGGAATACTATGCAGCTGCAAAAAAGGATGAGTTCATGTCCTTTGCAGGGACATGGATGAAGTAGAAACCATCATTCTCTGCAAACTGACACAGGAACAGAAAACCAAACACTGCATGTTCTCACTCATAAGTGGGTGTTGAACAATGAGAACACATGGACACAGGGAGGGGAGCATCACACTCTGGAACCTGCCAGGGGAAGTGAGGGGCTAGTGGAGGGATAACAGGGGGTCGGGATAGGGGAGGGGATAGCATTAGGAGAAACACTGAATGTAGATGATGGGGTGGTGGGTGCAGCCAACCGCCG